CGTTAAGTTTTTTTTTATTTATTCTAAAGGACTTTACCTACCTTGTTCCTCTCTCAAACTGCAAAGTGTTTGTGTCTTACACTTAATTTACACCTTATGTTTAGGTGTTATTCGCTCATCCTACACATAACGATAGCTCTATGACAGTGTCGATAGTACAAAAGCTTACTGTGACTTTTACACTATCACATGTTTTCTAGTTATGTAGACTGTTCAGTAAGTAAGTAAACATGTTTATACTGATCTCATCGTTTCTGTTTCGTTATTTTTCAAAAACATTGTATATTTCTTCTGTACATTGTATTTGTTAATCCTTTTGTAATTACACTTATTAATAATTCATCGCTACGCTAATTTTAATTAGTTTTCCAATAAGTCGATTATACGATATATAATTGGAATATAATACTTTTTGATATTTTTAGATCGTCGAAAATACTAAACATAACAAATATTTGTATTCATAATAAGAGATCTTCATATTCACACAATGCTAAATATAATTAGGGGGGGGTGTATTAATAATTTATATGCTTTCAGCTTCTATGCGAAGCTGAAAAATTATTAATTTTACTATTAAGTGTTTTTTTTTCTTGTGTCTGCTGCCACTTTTTCTCAGCTCTAACTAGACTGATTTTTTTCAATGATACGTCAAAATCGTATATAGTAGAAGACATTGCCCTTGAAAATCAAAAAAATTTTCTCTCATTTCCTATAAATGGCGTAAATCTCACAAAAAATTACGATTTTTAAAATCGTTAATTTTGGCATTTTTTTCACTTTTATTTCTAAAAACTGCTACAACTTTTTTAAAAATTAACAAATTGGCATATTTTTTATTTATACTAAAACCTTAAATATTTCATTTTTATTTGATATCAATATTTTGAAAATTTAACCCTTTACTTGCCCACAAGGGTGGATTCAAAGAGCAATTTTTTCATAAAAGTCAATTTTTTCTACTTAAGTCATGAAAATGTTCCGGAAATACTGCGTCCTTTAAATATATATTAAATTAAAGCTTATGTTACGTACTATATATAAAAAAAAAAAAAAAAAAAAATTGTCCCGACTACTTATTTTCTACTTGCAAATGGCTACCGTAATTAAAAAACATGCTATTTTTGTGTTCAATTTTTATATATTTTTTTTTACTTATTTTAAAATACCTTTTGCCATAATAATGAGTCCATCAATTTGTATAAAATTTACATGAATCTAGCTTAGATTAAATATAAATTTAAACTTATTTTGATTATTTTACCTCCTCAAAGTTAAGAAAAGTGACTTTGAATTTTTGAACTAGCTTAAATAGTTTTTTTTATCTACCCGCCTATGTCGATCACAGTGGCTGCGTTGTATATCACACAGTTTTATAAGCTTGGGGTACAAAATACGAACCCCATTAACCAAATTAACTTTTATTGCATTTTGTTCTTACTTTTTTTTTGAGGTAAAAAAAAAAATTCAAAAAGAATAATAATTAATAATATTCAATGAACATCAAATACCCTATCAATTTAATCTTTCTTTGTAAGACGGAATTTCTTATTCTTATTAAAATATTTCACCATATAGTTTTTGTGTCTGTCATTCATTTTTTCAGCCTTCAATTAACCAATTTTAATGACCAATACGTCAAAAGAACACAATTTTAATCATGTTGAACTTGTGATCACCAAATATTGGAAAAAAAAATTTAATTCTAACAAAATTATGCTATTGTAAAAATGGCTACTTCAAAAATCTTTTTTTAATTAAAATATCTCCAAATTAACAGAAGAATAAAAAAAGGTTTTTATATTGAAGTACACAGTAAAATATATCATTAAAAAATTGTATTTTCTATATTGATATGTGATTAGGAATTTATATAATTACTGTTAACTATAAATTCATTAGAAAAACTCAACATTTCGTTAAAATCGCTATATTTTAGCTGAGAAGGTATTAATTTTACCATGATGTGTTTTTTTTTTTTTTTTATTTATGACTGTTGCCACTTTTTCTCAGCTCTCACTGGACCGATTTATTTCAACAATACGTCAAAAGATCACAAATCGTATCTGTTGAAGAAATTACCCTTAAAAATTGAAAAATTTTCCCTCGTTCCCCGCAAATGGGGGAAATATCCAAAAAAATTACAAATTTAAAAATCGGTAAATTTTGTCATTTTTATCACTTTTTTTTCTTAAAACTTCCATAACTTTTTCAAAAATAAACAAATTAACATAATTTTTTTTTATACTAAAACCTTAGATATTTCCCTTTCATTTGATATCATTTTTTTGAAAATCTAACACTTAATCTGCTCATTGGGAGGGATTTAAAATAGCAACTTTTTTATAAAAACTAACTTTTTCAACTTAATTTTTGAAAATGTTCCGGAAATACTGCGTCCTTTAAACATATATCAAATTAAAGCTTATTTTATGTACTGTAAAATGAAAAAAAAAATTTGTCCCGACGACCTATCTTTTGCAAAAATGGCTACCATATTCCAAAATATGCTATTTTAATATTAAGGTTAATGTTGCTTTTGTAATTATCCATCAATTTCTTAGAATTAAACATTATCTACAGATTTGCACCGAAGCGTTTCTTATGATAGTGAAGTTAATCACTGTCAGATTAAATCTATACTGGACCCAACTATGCAACATCCCCACTATGCCGCGACCCCACTGTGCTGGGTTTTTTTTTAATATATATAAATACTTGTTTTTTACTATTTATTAATACTATCAAAAATTAGTGATGATTGAAAAAATTAAATTGCAGATTTGAAATCAACACGAAAAATGGGTTTAGAAAAGTAAATTATTAATTCTGATAAAAATTCCTTGTAGAACAATTATTTATAATTAATAACAATTATCTTCTGAAAAGTTTTAGATCAAGCACTTTAATATTTATACACGTTTGCAATAAAAGTGGCAACTATTTTATAATTTTTTTTATAATATTTCCATAAAAACAATACTAAATTATTAAATATCAATTTCGTACAAAAATTTAATTACTATAATAGTTATTTGATCATATATTATACTTATAAATCATAGAACTCTTAATTAGGTATAATAAAGGAAATAGGTGTTAATTTGTTTTTGGAATAATCCACCAATTTTTTAAAATTAAACACCCTCTACAGATTTCATCGAAGTGTTTCTTTTGATTGTGATTTTAAGCACTGTCAGATATCATCTATAATTATTCCAACTATAGCACGTTTATAATGTGCTATTGTTTTTAATGTATTTTTGATAATAATAAAAAAAAATGATGTATAATGGGTAATCAGTCAGTAACGTGGTAGTGCCCGATTCGCATTGTCTCGTTTTCGAGACTAGGTCACATGTGTGTCCGTTTGTAGAATGAGTCATCAAATTAGTAGTTGTAGTTGCCACCCCTCTCTTTGGCGATGGACTAACTACCCATTCTGGAGTATTTATGATTAGGAAACTTAATAACAATGGAAAAATAAAATTGAATTTTTGAGCTATATGTATTTTTGTCTAATAATTTCAGTTGTCAACATTTTAATACTTCGGAGATTAGAGGTAGAAGTGAAGAATTGTTTAGTGACTTAAAATAGCCACACATTATCTTCAGTCTTCGTTTAAAATTTTACCTGTTAACGACCAATAAAAAATATACATTCATTTATTTATTATTTATCACATCAATCAAATTATTTTGATAATTTGATTACAAAGAAATTTTAAATTTATAAATATTTGATTTTTTTATAACTAATAAAAACCAACATAATCAAGTAAGTGTACAGAAGATCAATTCATTTATATTTTCATACTGATCAAGAAAATGTATATTAGCTTCGATGCGAAGCTGAGAAGGTATTAGTTTTATTATGATGTGTTTTTTTTTTGTGTCTGTTACCACTTTTTCTCAGATCTCACCCAACCGATTTCTTTCAATGATACGTCAAAAGATCACAAGTCTTATCTAGTCGAAGACATTATCCTCACAAATTGACCAAAATTTCCCTCGCTTCCAGTAAATGAGAGAAACCTCCAAAAAAAATTTCGATTTTTTTTCAATTTTAGTTTCGATGCGAAGCTGAGACGGTATTGGTTTTACTATGATGTGTTTTTTTTTGTCTGTTACCACTTTTTCTCAGCTCTCACCGAACGGATTTCTTTTAACGATACGTCAAAAAATCACAAATCGTATCTGGTCGAACACATTATCCTCACAAATTGAAAAAATTTCCCTCGTTTCCAGTAAATAGGGGAAACCTCCAAAAAAATTACAAATTTAAAAATCGCTAATTTTCGAAATTTTTAAAAAATTTTTTCTTAAAACTGCCATAACTATATTTAAAATGAACAAATCAATGTAATTTTTTTTTATAGATGTTTGATGTCTTTACCTATCATTTGGTATATTTTTTTTATAAATCTGACTTTTTACCTGCACACAGGGAGGATTTAAAATGACAACTTTTTCACAAAAATTTAACATTTTCAACTTAACTTTTGAAAGTGTTTCGGAAAGTCTGACAATTTTATATATATATCTCAAATGAAAGCTAATGTAACGTAATTTATTATGAAAAAAAAAATTTCTTTATTTTGTCTTTACGGTAAAAATGGCTACCCAATGGCTATTTTGTGTAAAAATTCTAGATTTTATTTATTACATTTTTAACTTTAAAATGCTATACATTTTTAAAAAAATGTATGGATCAATACAATTTTTTCATGAGAGGTAGTATTTATATATCTTTCATTTGACATACTTTATGTTAATCAAGATATTAATAAGGAAACAGCAAATCATGTAGCTTTTAGAATAATCCACCAGTTTTTTAAAATTAAAAACTATCTAAAGATTTGCATCGAAGCGTTTTTTTGATAGTGATATTAATCACTGTCAGATATCATACTTGATCCAACTATGCCACGTCACCACTGTGACGCGACACCCCTATGCTGGATTTTTTTAAATAACAGTACAAAATGAATAATATTTACTTGTATTCGTCAAATGCTATAAAAATTGTTTTGCAAATTTTGGTAAATCATAAAATATTTAATTAAAAAAGAATAATTATTATACAAATTTAATGATTTTCTATGTTGACTGGCATTGGAAGCTCATTACTAATTGCTTTAAATTCCATTTCTAAATTAACAAAAAAAAAAAAACAAAAAATAAAAGAAATTAAGTTATTATTATAATCAATTTTTTATTTTTATTATAAATTACCTAGTTCAATTGTCTCGGATAGTGTTGGTATAAAAGATTCTTCAGTAATTGGATCAAATTTAAATCCTAGTTGAAAATACTTTTCTATAATTATTGTCTCGATATAATCCTTAATTTTTCTGATTAAGAAGGTGAAATATTCTAATGGTATGCCATTGTTTATCATGGATGTATATTCTTGATTCCATTCATTCCATAAATAATTTTCATCATTAGATACATATCTACAAAAAACTAAACTTTGATAGTCTACATTTACTTTTATTTTTTGAAAAAAATCATTTATAGTATTTAATGTCCACAAGTAGGTAGATAAATTATCACGTGTTAGAGTGCGTTCGTTTAAATTGTCAAGAATATTTTCTATATCCCTTAATAAAGGACTCATCATGTAATAATTTGATTGAAGAATCCATGGGTTGGAATGCATATAATCTAAATTATCCATGGCGCCTTTCATCAATTTTGCCAGTGGAACAATTAATAAGGATATTATGTTTACGAGTTCTTCGGTGCAAAAACATACATTTAAATACTCATTTTCTGTTATAATTTTTTTTTTACAAATTTGTATAATGTTGCTAATAACTAAAAAAAGATTATTCATAACTTTTGCATATGAGCACCCAAGAAAAACGGTCAAAGCTCTAATTTTTTGATTGTATTTATTCTTTGGTGTTGGTGTTTCTATCAAATTTCGAAGACAATATGTTCTATTGAAATATTTTACAAAGAACAAATCATTTTTATTTAGCCATCCTGAATACTTCAGTAACTTATCTAATTTATTTATTGATGCTATTGAAATCCGATCTGATTTTGTATACAAAATCACGTAAAATATTAAAAAACTATACATGATAAGTTTTAATGAGAACATTACAAAATAATTAATGATAATAATTCCTGAATTTTTTTATTAAAATACAATTTGATAAAGTATTACAAGACCCAAATATTTTATTCAACATTTAAAAATAATAGAATAAACAATTACGATAAAACATCTGTATTACATTTTTTATAGTTTGTAATTTTAGACTGATTCCGAATAACTAAACATTAGCTGTCAAATTTTCAATTTTTTTACCTATGATAAAAAAAAATAGTTTAATATATAAACAAATAGTCTTGAAAGGTTATTTCTTAATCATATTTTACACATTTCAAAGTTAATGTTTTAACATTATTATTTTTATTACTAGATTTGATTTTAATAATAAATTATTTTGTTATTTACTACTATTTCTTTCGTACTGAAAAATATAATCATAAAGAAATTCTTTATATTTCCTGTGTGCTATAATTTATAATTTATAAATACAATAATTAAATAATTTAATCTGTAACAAATAATGATTATAATTAAGAATGTTAGCTTCGATTAGAAGCTGAGAAGGTATTGATTTTACTAAGATGTGTTTTTTTTTTTTTGTGTTTCTATTATCACTTTATTTTTTTTATAAATCTGACCCTTTACCTGCCCACGGGGGGGGGGGAATTAAAAATAACAACTTTTTCAACTAAACTTTTGAAAGTGTTCCGGAAAGTCTGACACTTTTATATATATATCTTAAATTAAAGCTAATCTAATATATTTTATTATGAAAAAAAAAAATTTCGGACTTCATTTTGTCTTCACCGTAAAAATGGCTATCAATAGCTATTTTTGTGTGAAAATTCTAGATTTTATTTATTACATTTTTAACTTTATACCGTTATAACATTGAAAAGTGTGTGGATCAACACATTTTCTTATGAGAAATAATATTTATATCCCTTTTTCATTCGACATACTTTATCTTAATCAGGATATAAGTAAGGAAATAGCAGATCATGTAGCTTATAGAATAATCCACTAATTTTTTTTAAATTAAACACTATCTAAAAATTTGCATCGATGTGTTTTTTTGTTTGTGATTTTTATTACTGTCAGATAAACACTCTCAAATTGGAGGCCTCATATCATATACTACGATAGGAAACACCGAGCGAGGATCGTGCCTTCTAGACACAAGATAGGGTATTGTATTTCGATAAGGACAGCAGGTGCACAGTGATGAAGATTTTGAGTTTATGGATTGTAAAAATATCCGTTATTTTAACCGCAGTATTGCCTATGATAAAATCATTATCTTTCATACACTTTAAACTGTAAAGCGATCCTTATCTAACAATCATTATGAAAAATTCTCTTGTTATACGGTGTTGGAAAACGAATATTTATTGTGTTGGATATCAGTGACCCATGATTAGAATCAATGAGGTTTGTAAGATATGCGATATTATCGATTGAATATGATTCTGTTCCTTAACTGGTTTCCAGGTCTTATTCCATAGCTAAATCATATTGATTAGCTTAGTTGGTAAACCAAAATGTTCAAGAATACTTCATAGTTTTTCTTTTAGTCCAAGAATACAATATCCAGATCTTTTGTGAACCGGTGTCCTTTTTCCATTATATGTCTGATCACAAATATGTGGTTGATAGTTGATTAATTTTTAAACACTATTCTGAAAAAGTATTAGTATTATTATTTTATAAGGATAAAAAACAATATCCATAGTACTTCGGTCTTTGGCTGATTTGGCCTATGTTGGACCCTCCTCAAGCTTCTTGTTAATTTAGGCTGGTTAAATATTTAGTTTATCATACAAAGTAATTTAACAAGTATTTAATACTAGGCTTTGTCTAACTGGGGCTCCGAACCAGACCCGGTTCCCTGCGAGCCTCATACACCTACGGTGTGTTAGGCGCTTCAGGATGTCCTTACAGGTAGGCCACTGATTCCGGTAGGAGTAACCGGCTATGCCTGGCACAATATGTGTTGTGCAGGAAAAGTATTATTCTAAGATCAGTTTAACAGAAATAAAGTAGAAATTTTTTTATAACTTATAAAAACCAACATAATCATGTAAGTGTACAGAAGATCAATCCATTTATATTTTCATACTGATCAAGAAAATGTATATTAGCTTCGATGCGAAGCTAAGAAGGTATTAGTTTTATTATGATGTGTTTTTTTTTTGTGTCTGTTACCACTTTTTCTCAAATCTCACCTAACCGATTTTTNCACTGTGCCGCGACCCCCCTGTGCTGGGTTTTTTTTCTTAAAACTGTCAAAAATGACCAATAAATATATTTTTTTTTATAAATGTTTGATGTCTTTATCTATCATTTGGTATATTTTTTTTATAAATCTAACTCTTTACCTGCACACAGGGAGGATTTAAAATAACAACTTTTTCACAAAAATTTAACTTTTGAAAGTGTTTCGGAAAGTCTGACACTTTTATATATATAAATCTTAAATGAAAGCTAATGTAACGTAATTTATTATGAAAAAAAAAATTTCTTTATTTTGTCTTTACAGTAAAATTGGCTACCCAATGGCTATTTTTGTGTAAAAATTCTAGATTTTATTTATTACATTTTTAACTTTAAAATGCTATAAATTTTTAAAAAAATTTATGGATCAATACAATTTTTTCATGAGAGGTAGTATTTATATATCTTTCATTTGACATACTATATGTTAATCAGGATATTAATAAGGAAATAGCAAATCATGTAGCTTTTAGAATAATCCACGAATTTTTTTAAATTAAACACTATCTAAAGATTTGCATCGAAGCGTTTTTTAGTGATATTAATCACTGTCAAATATCATACTTGATCCAACTATGCCACGTCACCACTGTGCCGCGACCCCCATATGCTTATATAATACTTTAATTTAAGCAGAATTGTTTTGTATTTTTTATTATAATGACAATTTCTATCAAACGAGTAATTGAGAAAAGTTTTTAAAAAGTCTAAAATTTAATTTCATGAATTCCAATTTCATATTTCAGATTATCCCATAATTATACTATTCATTTTCAATGATTTCCGATAGATAATATATTTGTGTTTTTATTAATTATTTAAAATTTAATAAAATTTAATTTCATGAATTCCAATTTCATATTTCAGATTATCCCATAATTATACTATTCATTTTCAATGATTTCCGATAGATAATATATTTGTGTTTTTATTAATTATTTAATGATTACAGTAGAACTCCAATTATCCGAACTCCGATCATCCGAATCGCCGATTATCCGAATCACTTTCAGAAAAAATCAGAAAAAAATTTGTCCAAAGTCCGCGGCGTCAGTGTAGGCACAACACGTGGTAAGAGTTCCCACTCCAGTTCCGGCGCATTGCAGTCACCTGTCATTGTTTATTTTGATTAGTCAGTGAATGGGTCCCGGTCCCCATTAATTCGGATAATTGGAGTTCTACTGTATTTGTATTCGTAAAATGCTATAAAAATTGTTTTGCAAATTTTGGTAAATCATAAAATATATAATTAAAAAAGAATAATTATTGTACAAATTTAATGATTTTCTATGTTGACTGGCGTTGGACGATTATTACTAATTGCTTTAAATTCCATTTCTAAATTAACAAAAAAAAAAAAACAAAAAATAAAAGAAATTAAGTTATTATTATAATCAATTTTTTATTTTTATTATAAATTACCTAGTTCAATTGTCTCGGATAGTGTTGGTATAAAAGATTCTTCAGTAATTGGATCAAATTTAAATCCTAGTTGAAAATACTTTTCTATAATTATTGTCTCGATATAATCCTTAATTTTTCTGATTAAGAAGGTGAAATATTCTAATGGTATGCCATTGTTTATCATGGATGTATATTCTTGATTCCATTCATTCCATAAATAATTTTCATCATTAGATACAAATATACAATAAACTAAACTTTGATAGTCTACATTTATTTTTATTTTTTGAAAAAAATCATTTATAGTATTTAATGTCCACATGTAGGTAGATAAATCATCACGTGTTAGAGTGCGTTCGTTTAAATTGTCAAGAATATTTTCTATATCCCTTAATAAAGGACTCATCATGTAACAATTTGTTAGATAAATCCATGGGTTGGCATGCATATAATCTAAATTATCCATGGCGCCTTTCATCAATTTTGCCAGTNAATCCATGGGTTGGAATGCATATAATCTAAATTATCCATGGCGCCTTTCATCAATTTTGCCAGTGGAACAATTAATAAGGATATTATGTTTACGAGTTCTTCGGTGCAAAAACATACATTTAAATACTCATTTTCTGTTATAATTTTTTTTTTACAAATTTGTATAATGTTGCTAATAACTAAAAAAAGATTATTCATAACTTTTGCATATGAGCACCCAAGAAAAACGGTCAAAGCTCTAATTTTTTGATTGTATTTATTCTTTGGTGTTGGTGTTTCTATCAAATTTCGAAGACAATATGTTTTATTGAAATATTTTACAAAGAACAAATCATTTTTATTTAGCCATCCTGAATACTTCAGTAACTTATCTAATTTTTTTATTGATGCTATTGAAATCCGATCTGATTTTGTATACAAAATCACGTAAAATATTAAAAAACTATACATGATAAGTTTTAATGAGAACATTACAAAAAATTTAATGATAATAATTCCTGAGTTATTTTATTAAAATACAATTTGATAAAGTATTACATGACCCAAATATTTTATTTAACATTTAAAAATAGTAGAATAAACAATTACGATAAAACATCTGTATTACATTTTTATAGTTTTTAATTTTAGATTTATACTCATACACCTACGGTGTGTTAGGCGCTTCGGGATGTCCTTACAGGTAAGCCACTGATTCCGGTAGGAGTAACCGGCTATGCCTGGCACAATATGTGGTGTGCAGGAAAAGTATAATTCTAAACGCAGTTTAACAGAAATATAGTAGAAATTTAATTATTAAAATGAATAAAATAGTAAATAGTGAAATATTTAAGGTATAAAGTTTACATTTTTTGACTAAGGTCATCTCAATATTTTAATAATATTTCAATTTCAATCTTTGGTATCATCAATATTAATAAAATTCTGTTATGAAGTTCGGGCAATATGTTAAAATGAATACTATAATATAGAATTTCAAATAAAATACCATATATTTAAATTTATATTAGAATCTTATACATCAATATATATTTTCATTAACATTTAATGTAAAAACTGCAGGGAAATGTCTTACCACAAAGAAAAAGATTGTTAGTATGGTAAAGCATACTCTAATAATAAAAAATTTGTTCTAAAAGAAAAATAGGAGAAGGAAATAAAAAAATCTATTAATGAAAATAATAATAAATGAACTCATCAAACAATACTTTGTTTTTTATACATCTATACAATAATTTTTATTAGCTACATGAAATAATAAAAAAATTACTTAATAATATAACTCTAAAGTATCTAGGTGTACTCCTAAGGTATTTTTAAATTACGTGTTTTTAGTATACTTGTACACTGGCATAAAATTTAAACTAAATTGACATGCGAAAACCAAAATAATATCCAACTAAAAACTATGCGCATAGACTTAAAAAAAAAAAAGCTCGTAACTCGGTAAAAAATGAACAGATTTAAATGAAATTTTCAGTATATAAGTTTTGTAAAATTACAAATTATTCTGAAATTTAACAGATTCACATCGAAGTGTATTAAATAATAGTGACGTTAAACATTGTCAAATATCATATACTGGGCTTTTTTAATGTAATGATAGATGATTATTTTCATTTTATTAAAAATATTCCTCTTCTTTTTCCTCGCCTTAACGCCTTTATGTAAAAATAACTATTCTAATTAAATTGAATTACAAATTAAAATTTTTTTATTAGAATTGAAAAATATAAACTGCAGTAGTTTTTAAATAATTTAAGTTTATAAACGAGAGTTTGTTTTGACTAAAAGGTTTGATTGAAAAATAAAACCTACCGTTAGTATTCAACAACTATACACTACTTACTTTTAAAAAAATCGATTCAATAATATAAATATATAATTTAGTATAAAACAAACAAAATTTGTGAAAAAAGATTAAATATTTAAAAAAACAATCCGATAAAAAAAAATTGACTTTAAACTGTGTCATTTTTAATCAAATTCATACAGGTTATCTAAATTTAATGAATTAGCAGATTATTCGATAAAATAAAAATAATATTGACATTTATAATTATTTTAATTCTTTAGAACATATTTTTTTCAAATTATTAATCGTGAAGTATATTTATGTTTATCCCTTATATCACATAAAAATGTCAACTTTGATTTTTCAAATTGCAGCTTACACAATCGTCTTGTTTATTTATTAAATAATAATCTAATTAAGTGGATAATAATTAGTGGAAATCTATTTATTATATAGTTAATTTAATAATTAAAATGCTGATAATTTTTTATGTATAATGTTTTTGTTTTTAAATAGTTGAAATATATTAGTCATTTAAACTGTCTTTGTGTTCAAACCTTTTTTTTTAGTCATGATTAAAATAAATATTTTTTATTAAGATAAACCGTTTTATATTCTGTATTATTAATACAACATGTATTTCTGTTAAACAGGTAATTTTAAGTCGTCCATAAAAATGTCAACAATATAATTTTATTATCTCCAGTGTCCAGATTATATTTTAGATTATCCTCCAATGATTATAACATTATTATTTTTTTTTATTAAAAATAGAATCATATTATTATATTTTAATGATTATTTAAAGATTTACAAATTTATTATGTGAATTGTAATTAATTATAAAACATTAATAAAAAAATTTTTTATTTTATTAGAACATTTGATGAGTTTCTATTTGTATTGGTATTGAATGCATATCACCAACTGCTTTAAATTCTAATTCTAAATTCAAAAAAAAAAAATGTGTGAAACATTGTATAAATATTTTTAAAAATAATTTTTATTTCAAATACCTAGTTCAAGTGGTTCATTTTCTAATGGTAGAAACGTTTCTTCTGTAATTGGATCAAATTTAAATCCCAGTTGAAAATAATTTTCTATAATGACAGTATTAATATAATCCTTAATTTTACTCGCTAAGTATTTATAAAAGACTAATTTTATATTTTGGTCAATAATAGCTTTATATTCTATTTTCCATTGCTTCCATAAAGAATCCGTATTAGAATTTACAAATTCACAATAGTATTCAGTGTCATAATTTAACCCTAAATTTATTTTTTGAAAAAAATCATTTATAGTATTTAATGTCCTCAAGTAGGTCAAAATATTATTATGCGATACAGTTTGTTCGTTTAAATAGTCAAAAATATTTTCAATTTTTTTTAATCGAGGCCTTATCATGTAGGAATATTTCTGTAGAGACATAGGGTTGTTATGTAATGAATCCAAAGTGTCCATAGCGTTTACCATCAATGTTGCCAATGGAACAATAAATAAGTATATTATGTTTACGAGTTCATCGGTGCAAATACGTCCATTTATAAAGTCATTTCCTTTTTCAATTTTTTCTTTACAAATTTGTATTAACTTTTTAACAATTAAAATAACATTTTTCATAACTTTTGCGTATGTACATCCGAGATAAATAGTCAAATATCGTACTTTTTGATCAGATTTTTTGTAAGGTGTTGGTGTTGTAATCAAATTTTCCAGATAATGAGCTTTTGAGTAATATGTTATACACTTTACCTCGTTTAAGTTTTTCCATCCCGAATATATTAATAACTTATCTAACTGAACATCTTTGTTCAGTAAACTCTTCTTTGCTGTTGTGTACAATATCACAGTTATTAATGCAAAACTTAACGTGTAAAGTTTTAATGACAACATTTTAAAAATTACTAATTTTATTTATGACTAAAATTTTTTGAATAAAGTATAAGTGTCAGAACACCTGTATATATACTATTCAACATTTATAAATAATAAGATAAATATATATTTTATGAAATCTGTTATATTTTAATAAATCTCATTAAAGTTTTTAGTTAAAAATTTTAGTATGATTTAACTAACAAAATGTTTTATGACAAATATTAATTTTATAAAACTAAAAAAAAAAATTGGATAATATAATTTAAATAGTTTTCAAAAGTAATGCTTGATAATATTTTACATGATTCATAGTTAATTTATAATTTTTGACTAATGAATAAACAATTTTAAATTGTTTAGTAACTATGAACACAGTTTCATATTTAATTTAAACGGAGAATACATAAATTTATTTTTAATGATCAGGTTAGGCTTTTAATTGATTTTTGGGAAAATTAAATATAAACATATTACTACCTTTTATTTTTATTTAAAATGTGATATAATGTTACTCTTGCGTTAAAGCCGTGTAATAGGTATAGCAATAGGATTGATCTGTTGGCTTGTCAATTGATTTTAGAATAGTAAAATTTTTAGAAAAGTCCTCTATAATAAAAAGAAAACTATAAGTGTAAAATATTTTATTATAATATAAATTTTTGAAATTGTGTTTTAATATTGTATGTACAGGGGACATACAGTACTAATATTATTAATCCGCTTGTATATAGAACAAAATTAAATCATATTAATAGCTAATAGGAAATTTTACTCTCTTGAAATTTTGTAATCAAATTCTTTATTTTTACAACAGTATAAAAAAATTTGTGGGCTGTTAATTAAATAAATGCATAAAATACTTCATTCATTACAAAGATTTTTTTTTTTTACATCGTATAGTACTTTTTCTAGCATTGGCTAATTATTCAATGTTTTATTATTTGATAACATTTTTATCAAACAGAAAATTTTGAGTAGTTTATAAAAAAATAATTAAAATTTAATATTTCCAATGTGAATATTTATATTATAATAATTTGTAGATAAAAACGAGTTGTAACTCGGTTATAGTTTTCTATCTGAAAATGAGTTTCTACTAGTTTTTCTTCTATGCTTAATAATCAGTGTGGTATGTCCGTGTGTATAAATTTTATTATTAAAACAGCTTTAATACCAATGTGAGATAATAATAACGAATATAGATAGTTGCTTTTAAGTAATATGTATTATTCCATTGAACCCCGAAGGAAAAAACTACGAATTTCCTTATTCGACATCATCCCATCGTTATAACATACTTTTTTGTGTAACAGCCAATTCAAGAACATACATCAGTGAATAAATCTAAATACATTACAATAAACATGATGACTTAATTTTGTTGACCTCTAACGTCCGTTTTTTTTTTGTGTTCGCCTTTGTCGTTGCTGAATGTGCGATTCATATTCAAACATCGAGTAGTACGTACACCGTTGTTTTAAAAATCCGTCTTAACATAACCATTAGTGGTCTATGACCGTGTGGAATAACTTTACTGAGTTTACTCGTAGGATCCCACTAAAAGCTTTTTAAGACGTGCAAATTAAAAATTAGGCATTTATTTTTCTGGCGGTTACATTCATAGATTGTCGCGTCATGTCTCAGACGCTTTGTTCTCGAACGATCGTTGCCATTTAAAATTTTACTCGAGTGCAAGAACACATAAACTGTCGCATTACAGAGTGTCATACAAATGGGACGGTCGAAAAAAAAAACATACACAGTCGAAATAGAGAGACTTACGATAAGTAGGTAGTTTCGTACGGAGAACACGTCAATCGTTAGGTGTAATGCGGTCGTTTAGTTCCGGTCGAATCGTTAAAGGATCGCTTTGCACGACAACGTCTTGTACTTGTAGGGCGGACAAAAAAAAAACTGGATTCGGCAACGTTTGCGGCAAACTTTCGATAACCCCTCGCCGCGGGGAGGGGCGTTTTAATGGCCGTCTTAAAGCCGTGCGAACGGGATACGCAAAAACATTGGAGACGACCAGATGATTATTTACCGGGGCGAGCAAACAGTAATTTATATATACGTTCATATTAGCGAACAGACACGTTGCGTAAACACTGTCAACGGATGAACAACAACATGGCAAAACATCTCTAAGAATGCTCTCCGGCGGAATGAAAAAATGTAAATTTAATAAAATAGAAAGTCTTCCCGTGTAGACTGTTCCGTCGGCCCGTATTATCTCTAGTCGTAGTAGCGTAAGTTATTTAACTGGAATTCCTAAACCACTATCATTATTAAGCATCGCTCGACGAATAAATTTAGGTAATTCTCTTGAACTAACATCTGAAGTGTGTTATTTTTTCGTGTAGCTCGAGGAATTACTTATGCGTGACGTTTGTTTTCGCTGAGCAAAACCGGCCGAATAAAAAAACGGTCTGCACTCGACTACACCGTCAGAGTGTTTTGCCCAGATTTTATATTGCTTTAGTTTTTTAAAGCTCCGCCGACTGCTTCGTGTGTCGTTTATTCAACGAAAATCGACATTAACGATCGACGGCGAGACGCTTAATTGCCGTCTGTCGAAAAGCTGATACGGTCGGGCCTTCTCTTCTTCATTATTATATCGCAGTGCAACTTCCATGTTCCCAAGGAAACTTCTCGCCCTTCACACCCGGCCGCCATATCACTGGTCCTGTAATCGCATTTCGCAATCGCTTTGCCGCCTTACATACAAACGGCACTGCAGAACCTAATGACTTTCCTAGTTACTGCAGCAATATAAATGGCTGTAATAAAAACATTGCATTATATGTCTAATGCGTACAGAGCTCGCTGAGGGAGGTAATCCCGGAGAATGGGGTAGACTTGGAGATAAAACAGATGTTCCTAATGAGATGGCCATGCCGGAGCGTCTCGTGTGTACATTTTGTAAACGCACACGCAAATGTTATGGACAGCGGCGGCTCTTGGTTTGGACGACGGGACGATCGCACCCCTACAAAAATTAATTAAAAGTAGAAAATCAATTGTATGTTCTTAATTCTACATTTCGAATAAATATTTTTTTATTAAAAACGCAAGTTTTTAAATGGTTATTATACAGTTGTCGTGTGCGATACATTTCCCTCAGTATATGCGGATGATACACGAGCAGTGTTTGGACGACCGGCAGCGTCGTCCAACGGTAACATATTAGTATATATTACTGTATTGGGCAATTTATTTTTAGAATTAACTGCTCGTCGTTATCGGTTGCTGTAATCGTGTAATCGCTATTATTATTATTATTTCAATTTCTCTTTCCTACTGCGACCTTTAAAATAATAATATGTGTAATGTGTTTTATTTTATCGTATTATATATGACAGTTTTTTTATACCTATGACTAACTGTATTATATTTTAAGTCGCATCCCCACCACCAGCACTCACTGATTATGGGCAATGCTTTCAAAGTGCGTTCGTCTGATTTTCGGGTTTCCTCAGATGTCTTCATATTCTTTATGGATACCTTTTTGTAGTCACACATTCCCCTTTCGCTTTTATGTTTTTTATTTGCGAAGATTCTCGCTTTGGATCTTTATTATTATTTTCTTATCTTTTTTTTTCGGTAATTACTCGTGCCGCCCGTGGGACTTGGCCCAAGACGTGCGTCAAAACAATAGGACGAGTGACGTTAAAGGGGATAGGAAGACTTTTATGGTTGGATTATGTCCTGACTGAAAAATAATTAGAAACGAAAAGCACGTGGCGGAAAACGTTATTCTTTGTGATGTTTTCCATCGTTAAAGAAATAATAATTATAAGGAAAAAAAATACATTGTGCAACGTCTTGGCGATTAATCGCGCGTCGAACCATTTTAAAAGATAAACTGCAGATGTCTTTCTCCCTATTTGTTTGGGTATAAAAAAGGGGTCTTTGTAAATAAAATTTTACACTTAATAGCAATCTCGAAATGAAACTCTCCAGAAACAAAACGAGTGTCGTAGTTATTTACTTTTTTGCACGTCGTAAATGAATCTGTTCATTTTATAATCCTATTCCCAACAAAAAAACTAGTAATAGTGTTATATTGCAAAATTTGGTGTTAAAATCAAATCTATATTTGATTTTGTGTATGTAAATAGTATTTACATACAAACAAGTGCTTACTAAGTACTATTTTTTTTATATAATTAGCGAGATTTTATGTATAAATAAAAACAGATTTTCATATATGAAAATTATTATTGTACTAGAAAAAAAAAATTACTAACCTTTTGTTTAACGTATTTGAACTTTTTGAAGATATTAAAATATTTTCTTAAACATATATTGTAGAATATTTATTTATTTTTATCTTGGTCCATTTCAAAATATGTGTTGTTTCTTTTTTATTTTTATAATGATTAAGTACTGAGTACGTGTTTATAAATAATTACTAGAGTATTTACATTAACAGCGATAAATCTTAACCCATAATTTGTCTTGTAAATATTTTCTCATTACCATATATCTCATGTTCCTAAACATGGATTCTAACATTAATTTTACAGGAAGCAACTGGCAACTGCTATTAGATATATAGTGCGGTTTTGATTATTATGAATTTTACATTAATATTTCTCTGCGGTGTACTAAGAATTTTGTTGTTTAATGTGCTTAGAGTGTTTTAAATCGCTGAAATCATAACAACTAAACTGTTTAATAAAATTTCATTAGTCATTGTTTTAACTTTAAGTGCTAAAGATTTTCTTTTCCACGCTAATTATCTATTGAGGACGGCCATCTATAGCATTAAATACCAGTTGTACATCACAAATGGATATATTCTTTAAATATTTATAGAAATTTTAAGTGGGTAAAGAAGAGTTGTTATTTACCATATACGTATTTTAACTCGAGATGGCCAAAGTGGTCTGTTGTCTGAGACGATAGATGTATAGATAGCAAATATAGTAAAATAATTAAAATTATTTACACGTATCTATAATAAATCTAAGTGTGCGTTTTATGAAGAATTGTAAAATCGTGTAGTTGTAATTTATAAATGACTTTCACAATCTTATTTACATTTTCATAA